CTGGCTGCTTGAATTTCTGTAGCTAAAAAAGATCAAATTCAGTAAGAAATCATTAATTACTCTCTCTCTTTTTCTTCTACGGACCTCTTTTTAAATGGAAATAGGGTGTCTGTTGCAAAAGGGGATCAGCCTTGCCATTGTTGAAGACCAAAGACATTACTTGGATGAATGCATGAGTCAGGTTCAGGGTTTTATTTCCCTCGAATTGCCTCCAGCTGCCTGTTTTCCTAATGTTAGAGGTAGTTATTGAAAGTGGCAGGTTAAAAATTGGATTCCGGAAGGCAAAACATGATTGACTATGTTTATTAAACCCCTCAAGGAAATGTATATTCATGCCTTCATTTCTCTTTCTTTTCCCCCCTCTTTTTTCTCTATTTTGGATAGAGATCATTGTGAAAATACACACAGTATCTAGTATGTCAGACAAAAAATAAATAAATAAATAAAAAATAAAGAAGACAAAAACGTTGTGGCACCTTAAAGACTAACTGCATTTTAATGCGAGCTTTTCTGGGGCAAGTTACTACTTCAATATCTAGCAATATCCTCTTTTACTTACCAAAGATAAAAGCAGTGGGATAAGAAATTAGTCTCTTTCTTTTTGTTTTAATTGAATGGTTCTTTCTCTCTGAGGAGGGGCTGTGCTATGCAGCTGCTTCAGATCTTTCCAGGAAAAAAAAGATTTGCCATATAGGATACCTGAACTAAATTGGGTTTGTAGCTTACATATTAATTTTAAATCTGTTCATATCAGAGGACTTGTTCGATCATCCTCTAATCATCTTCACGATCCTTGATTATACAGCAGTTGAATCAGGCTTGCAGTAGATTTACATGGTTTAATCTTTCCCCTCTCCTTCAAGCTTTAAGTTTATTTAGGTCTAGTAGCCCATAGGCTATACAACATGTCAAGTTTTAAAGTCTAAAAATACATTAAAACAAAAACTTGCCACATCTACACTACAATTTTTGCATGGACTGCTTAAGAGTAATTTTAGTTTTGAGATACAGTGGTGCCTTGCATTACGATGTTAATTCGTTCCAGCAAAATCGCTGTAGAACGAAAACGTCGTAAAGTGAAAATAAAAAAGCCATTGAAGTGCATTAAAACCTGGTTAATGCTTTCCAATTGACTAATAACACACCGTCCAGCGAAGATCCTCCATAGGGGCGGCCATTTTCAGGTGCCTGTGCAGCGAAAAATGGCTCCTAAACACAGCAGGGAGCCATTTTGAGCACCCGGTGGCCATTTTGAAAACCCGCCAATCAGCTGTTTTGATCGTCGGGAAGCGAAAATCGGTTCCCAAAACAGGGAACCGATCATCGCGCAGTGAAATTCCCCCATTCAAAATGTCATTTTGCGATCGCTTTTGCGATTGCAAAAACCTCGTAATGCAGATTCGTCGTTAGACGGAGCGCCCATCTTGCGAGGCACCACGCTAAACACAGCGGGGAGCCATTTTGAGCACCCGGTGGCCATTTTGATAACCCGCCAATCAGCTGTTTTGATCGTCAGGAAGCGAAAATCAGTTCCCGAAACAGGGAACCGATAATCGCGCAGTGAAATTCCCCCATTCAAAATGTCATTTTGCGATCGCTTTTGCGATTGCAAAAACCTCGTAATGTGGATTCCTCGTTAGACGGAGCGCCCGTCTTGCGAGGCACCACTGTATCTGAGAAGCTTGAATATTTTGGTAGCCATTTTTTTGGAGGAATTGCTCTCTTGCTATTGCATATTTTGGACAGTGAAAGAAGCTAGAGGATGACATATTAAGTTCTAATGGGACAGTCACCGTGACATTGGGCTGTGGGTACCTTGAGAAATCATCCCTTCCTCTGAGCTGTTGGAAGTGTAGTGTTGCAGCAAGTGATAACATCCACCTTAGCTTTGGAACTGTCATTAATCCCATCCCCTTAGTTTCATATTTATCATACTGTGCAGGTGATCTGAGTGGCAGCTTCCACATTTCAGTTGTCTAGTATCAGAATAACCCCAGAAGCAGAGGCCATTATAAGCAGTTTCTGTGGTCAGCATTGCTGTCCTTCGTTGCAGTAACAATAAAATAAAATTCAAATAGATAGAGAATAGAGATGGGGGTATTCGTATTCAAATATGAATATTCCCCCACAGGTGCAGATAACGAGGGTCCGGCCCCCTGGGGCCAGACTGACCACTCCCCATTCTGCCACTGCTGTGGACTCCATGCTCCCTTCCTATCGCTCCCTTCCTATCGTGGTGGATTAGCCACTCCTGGCAGAAGGCAGGATGATGAGCCTCTCTGCCAGGTCGAAGAGTGGCTAATCCATCGTGAGTTCCGGAGCTATTGGAAGGGTGTGCGGAGCCCGCGACAGCGGCAGAATGGGGAGTGGTTGGTCTAGCCGCAGGGGGGCAGACCTTTGTTATTGGTACCTGTGATGGGATATTCATATATGGATACCCCCGTCTGTAATAGAGAATATGAGATATCCTGTTCCTGATCTCAACAAAGTCTGAGTTTGAACTTCTGAAGGCAATATAGATTTTCTTCCATGGAGTGACATTACCCAAGGAAATAAAATTGAGGCTTATCCCCCCCCCCCCGGCTTTTAATAGGCTTTTCAACATTTTAAACTTTTTTCCCTTTAATCTGTGTTCCATATGTACTGATTATAAATTTAAAACCAAAATTAATACAGTTGTATTAGAACCTTGAAGGCATTAGTGTGGCTAATAAAGACATTTATTAGCATTTCTTAATTTACACATTTATTATGTTATCCTGAAGCCTTATTTCGTCAGTATTTCAAAATTTGTTCTTGGAAATTAATCTGTTTTAATCATTGCTCTTTGAATGGTATTAATGATGTCAGAAGCAAGGTAGTTTTTACAGATAGCTTTAGGGTAATTAGGTAATTTGGAAATTGCACAAAGCAAACCGGAAAACAAAATATTATATTAACAATATTCTTCTCTTGTAAACCTTATAATAGACAGGTCATATTTATAGTTGTGCATAATACATATTTGAGTGCATGCCCTCTTTGTAGCCTTCCCTGTGGAATAAAATAATTTTGGATTACCCAATATTCCTCAAAGATCTGTGATTTCATCAGTATGGGTAGTCCCTCCAATGACCTGAATTGCAGTTATTTCACACCATATTATGGTGTAGCTACCATAACTGATTTGTTAGCAGGTGGCCAATCTTCTAGTGATTCTAACCCTCCATATTTATCTTGGATGACAGATGCATAGTCAGCTACCTATGGCTTATACTCAGAGCCTTATCAGCTTGGTAGAACCTGACAGAGCTTGTGCTGCACTAGCAGAGCCTCCAGAAACCCATGGTTGCCTCTACACTACATTGGGGTGGTAGAGTAAGAACTGAAATCTGAAAGAGATAAGGAAAAAATATGCTGTGCCATTTATTTTTGGGCCTGCCAGTCTTCTCAAAAGGATCTGACTGTAACAGGGGTTAGCATCTTCTGCCACTGCAGATGTTGAGGAACTACAGCTCCCATCATGCTTTAGTTTTTCCAGGCTGGCAGGGGCTGATGGGAATTAGAGTCTGGAGGGCAACATGTTCTCCTGCCCTGCACTGAAGCATCCCAGTTGGGACATTGTCTTTCGATTTCAGTGAACAAACCTGTGTAGGAGTCTAGCTTTGTTTCTGTTGCAACGGTCTATTGCAAATTTTCACCCATCGCAAAATTGCTAGCATGGGAGAAAATGGTGACCTTATCATAGGTCAGAGTCCTATTGCTTAAGCAAGCACACCAGCAGTGAAATGCCTTTAGTTAAGATGTCAAGGCTTACTTCTGTCATTGCATGCCTTGGGAAGTGATGAGAAATGCAAGCACTGACATTCTAACTGGCAGCAGTTTGTTCCAGTGATTTACTCTATTTGATTTAAACCTGCATGCATGAGTAACAAGATTCTGACCATTATCTGTAATCCTGAACTTGCATATGCTTCACTGTAATCTTTTTAAATGCTCAGGTTCACATGCACAGTATATAATTTGAATTTAGCCATATCTGTCTCCATACACCTTCTGATTCAGAGCAGACTACTATTTCCTTCAAGGGCAGTCAGGTGGCAAGTGCTGAGGACACTGAATCAAAACAAGGCCACTGAGAAACAAGAATGGTGATACTGGGTGTGTTCAAAAGGAATCCTGAGGTTGACAACAATTTTAAAAAAGTCTTAAACCTAAGTGGCTAAAAAACATTCCTGAATGGGACTGAGCGTATAGAATATTAACTATTGGTCAGGAAAGGCACATGGAAAAGTTTGAGTCTCTAACTTCTCATAGGTATCCTGAAAACATGGTTGATCAGCACCTTGAATAGGATATGAAAATAGGCTGCAATGTGGTATTGCTAGTCCCACTTGTAGACTCTAACACTTAACATTTAATATTATTTAATAATAGCATCATCTTTATTACATTTCTTCCGGTGAACTGCATGGCTCCCCATAGAGGTCATGCAATAAACATAGTCGAATGGGAATTTGAACTACTCTAGGTTTCCTGTAAGCACCACAATGCACTGATCAACACTTTTGTTTTCTGCTTCACCTATTGGCTGAAATCCTGTTGCTTTGTTACACATGTGGAAAGCAAATGGTGTAACTTTTAGTGTCTTCCCACTAGCAATTAGTCCCTGCTAAGAATCCCAGTGATGACTCATTAATTGACAGCTGGTACACACTGAAACTCTTGCCATTTGTCTTCCAGATGCGTGACAAATCAACTGGATTACAGCCATTGATATGTTAATGAATAGAAAAAAGTGATTAATGATACTTTTTACTGAAGAGGAAGTTGGTTGTATTTAGAAATTGTATAGATACGCTCAGAAATTATGAAGATGTACAACTTTGGACGCATGAGATTCCGCTTCTGACCTAGTTTGAAGTGGCTGGACTGTCACCTGTTCCAAACTGGGTCCAGAGTTTACTTTCTTCTTGTCCCGTGATAGTATAGGAAAATAATGACTGCTTTCTTTTTTCTAGAGTGCATCAAATTCAAAGATGAAGAAAACAACTAAAACGAAAGAAGCTAAAAAAGTTTTGAAGAGAAAATTTAAAGTCAATACAAAAATTGTATTTACTGAAGATGGAGAGGTAAGATCAAATAAAAAGGTTTCCTTCTACTGACAAAAGCTGCTGTGTGTGTAACTGTTTGAGAACCTAGAGGAAATGTTTCTATACTTTCAACTTTCAGAGAACACTTTCCATGCTGACCACACTGAGATTATCATATCTTTACCCAATAAAATTGAGATAAGGCTGACAGTATACACACAACATCCTTTCTTAGTATGAGTGAGCAAACCAGCAAGGAAGTCTTGCATTAACAGTAGCTAGCTGTTTCATTTGATCTGAGAAGCTATTATTAACAGTTTTGAACAAGACAGGATATTACGGCATGGCTTTATACCACAGAGCTGTCAATCCCAAGGCATAACAAACAAAAAATTTAACTAGAGGGACACGGTCTCTGTCCTGTTATTTTCCTGTTTGGACAAAATGCGAAATTATACCTAATAGTCGAAGACGTCTTACTTAGTTATAAGGGTAGGATATGATAATCGAAAGTCTCCCAGTGATAATCTACTGAGAAGATACTGTGAGTAATCTCAACAAATAGCAAAAGGATTCTGTGTGTATTCTCAATTTTGTGTGTGATAACTCATTTGATTCAGCGAAACCAACCTCCACAGGTACCACTTTAAAGCTACATGTTATGCCACTAATACTTAGTGGCAGATAAGCTGTGTCTAAAGAATCTTTTATCTACTACTACTCATTGAGATATCATTGAAAATCTCCAAGAAGTTTTCAGGGAGAACTTGATCGCAGTTTGAAAACTCATTTATTAACTTATTTTCATTTTCTCTCCACTTTTCCTCCAAAGAGCTCAAAGTAGCATAAATGGCTGCTTCTCAGTTTTTTTCTCATAACAACTTTGTAAGATAGGTCAGGATAAGAGGGGATGACTGGCTCAGGATCACTCCATGAACTTTAAATCCAAGTGGGAATTTTAACCTACATCACCGAAGTGCTAGTGCAGCATTCTAACCAGGGCAAGTACATTGGACATACTTTGATTCTGTAAAGTGTGTGTGCATCTTGCAGAACACCCAGATGGGGAATTATGGGATTTGTAGTCCTATCCATTATCCTGTTGTGTAACATGATTCATGATTCTGAATAAGTCTGAACAATTAACTGCTTTTCCTGAAATAGAAACATGATTTCCTGGTGTTCAGCATGCACTTAAATTTTTTTATAGAATGCTAACTGCTTGCAATATGTTTTGCAAGGCCACAGTAAGGCTAGCGGAAGACCCCCTTATCTGTGAGATCAATATCCACTGATTCAATTATCCACAGTCTGAAAATATTAAAAATATTAAAAGAAAAATCCCCCCAGTATTTCTAATGATGAAGTTACCAGAATTGGCTGGTAACTGAAAGGAGCCAAAGACCGTGCTATGTATAGTGTTTATTATTATAATAGCATTCTCTATAATCTGTACTTTTTTAGCATCTGTGGGGGGGAGCTTGGAACTGATCCCCCATGGATACAGGGGTCCTATTGTACTGGTGGTCTTTTTCATGGGCAGTGGTGGCAAAGGTCAGTTTAACACTGCACTACTTCTGTACACTAGTGCAGCTGTACTGAATAGATGAGATGAGAAAGCATTGCCAGGTTGTATTTAAGGGCTGCTGGTTTTTCCTGTGTGTCTTGACAAGGAGCCCTTTTTAAAATAACGACACTCCTTTGAACAGAAGCCTGCCTTTTCTTTCTACCACAAACCTATTTTGGCCCACTTCAGTGGACTCAGAATACATCTGATTTAAATGTTGTATTAAACATCATATGATCAATTGGTTAGTGCTGTGACCATGTTTATGGTATTACATTCCCACATATGTTTAGAACCACCCTTGACTTCCTGGAATTAAGATAACCTTTTCCGCTAGGCAGTAGGATAAGACAAATGCTTTGATTAAATTGAAGTTTCAGCTTAAAAGAATTAAGCACATTGCTAAATTTGGTCCTTAAAATAAGTTAGCATGTTACTATCTCCGAAGCTATTCTTAAACTGAAAATGATGAATAACAAGCATGATAGTTACTATTATTTTGTTCTTTTTTTTAAAGGCGGTACGGCAGTATTTTTTCTGCGGCAGCCATGGCAGCTGAAATGTCAGTTTCTAATTAGGTTGATATATTAAGGCTTGTTTTATGAATTCATGTGAGGAATGATCATGTTGCATGTGATGCTGCATTCTGGATGTGAAGTTGTAAAATGTGTTCCAGTTGTATTCTGAGCTGTTCTTACACACAGAGAGAAATGAAATAAGACTTTAAAGGCACAAGACTAGCCTTGGTGTGTCTGGTCTTGTCTGATTTAAGTTCTGTTTACAACTGAAGTTTTGCTTTTGAATATACTTTTTTTGGCAACTTCTCATAGTTGTAAGCAAACACTTTAAAATATATTTCATAATGGCTCCAGCAGAGACAGTAGTAAATAACTACCGCGTTTCCCCAAAAATAAGACAGAGTCTTATATTAATTTTTGTTCCAAAAAGTGCATTAGGGCTTATTTTCAGGGAGTGTTTTATTTTACAGTCATGTCATCTTCTTCTGATTGCTGCACAATGCTGCACAATGGTGGAGGGTTGGGGTTCACTTAACTGGCACTTATTTTGGGGATAGGGCTTATATTACAAGCATCCTGTAAAAATCAAACTAGAGCTTATTTTCAGGATAGGTCTTATTTTCAGGGAAACAGGGTTCTGTCTGAGGAATATTATTTCCCTGTCCTTGCTATGAACTCAGGTGTAGTAGCATTTTCCTAGACTTGAATAATTATCCCCTTCTAGTTATTTAAATGTTTTTACTCTGCCTTTCTCCTCAAAGGTGGCTTACATCATTAAAAGACAATATTTAAAGCTAAAAACAGTAAGCATACAAATAATAAAAAAGGTCAAACAGATACCACACTAACAGACAGTAAACAAAAGCAACACTAAAAACACAATTCAGAGCATTAAGACACAACCATCCATTTAAAAACTCCACTTAGGCAGCCAGTCACTCAGGGAAAGCTTGCCTGAAAAGAAAAGTCTTTGCTTGCTTGTGGAAGGACTGCAAAAATGGAGACTTCTAGTACTGCCCATGCAGTAGCTTCTTAGCTGAAGATTGGGAACACTTAGCCTTGCAAGTTAAAACTCCCATCATTCCTCAACATTGACTTGTCAGGTTAGAAAGCGCTCTATACATACAAAATTTCAGATTTTGACATTGCTGCTTTCATCTCTTCCTTTTCATCTCATTTTCTGGGTATGCATTATAGTTTGGGCTGATTGTTTTTTATTGAATCAGCTCCTCTTCGTCAAACATAAGCTTGTAAATTGTACAATTTTTTTTTTAAAAAAAAACTCATCTACTTCAGGAAGATAATTTAAGGAGCAAGTGATGTCAAAATAAGGACCTCAGCACCCTGAGCATTTTCCCATGGCTACTGGTATATCACTTTTCTATGTAGATGGTGAAGGGTTTCACTATGTAAACAAATAAACTAATGTCTGTACTTCTAGAATGGAAAAAATGATGGTATAAAGACTTAACTGTGATTTTTTTTTCTTATTCAGCTAATTCAACAGTGGCCACCTGCTCAAAAATTGGCTCAAGACAAAGGAGAGGATGATGACAATACTGATGGGATCAATCTAGATAAAGCAAAAGAGAGACTACAGGAAGAAGACAAATTTGACAAGGAAGAATATAGGAAGAAAGTTAAAGAAAAACACAGGGTAAGTACATTTTGCTCCCATTTATCAAAATATTAGAAAGGCTGTGGAATAAATGATTTCCACACAGAAACATTTGACTCAGTTGCATTTCTTGTTTAAATATTCTGTTGCTTACTTTTCTGTTCTTTCCATTCATTTTATTTGTTTTAAGTGTTCATAACTTTTCTGCCCACCAGGGCTTCTAATAAATATAAGAGACAACCAATCCTTCAGGTTGGTTGGTGAAGCACTGTATACTGAAACAGTATTAGAATTGTCCACACAATACCTTTAGCAGAGAGTAGGATGGAGTTTGAAGAACCATGACAGCAGAAAGTGTTGGATTATACACCATCAAGAACAATGAGGACAAGAGAGCCCTGTGTAAATGATGCCTCTGGCATGGTCCATTTTATTTGAATGCCTACATTTTGCATAGATGTGATTGAGAACTATCAGTTATATCTATAAAATATTCAAAAATGTCACCACTGTAATATGATTGATTTCAGCTATAATGCATTGCTTTAATGCCAGTACTTTAAACTCCCTTTTTGGCATTTTACAGAAAAATTTAAATTGTTGGCCATAAAAATGGAAAGATTATTTCTGGACCATTTATTCGTCGTAAACTATAGCTAGAAGTCTGATAACCTGACAGAGAGAATAGTTGTAAATGTTACGCTATCGCTTCAATACCCATTGATCACTCTCTGTCTTTTCATTATTGTTATTTATGGTCATGTATATAACTATGAACAGATATTGTTCTCTGTTGATGCAGCACCTAAAAATCTGTAACAGGACATAATCCTGTTCTTGTAGGTATAAGAACAAACAGCCTGTATTTCAGAGAAGCTAAAAGACCATAACTAAAAGTTTGCTCAAGCAAGATGAGGTTCAAAGAAGGGACAGGTGGATTTTTTAAAAAGGGGGTATGGGTAAAATTGATTATTCTGTATGTCATCTTCTTGGTCTTTGTGCAAGTTAGCAGCAGAGTTTGGTAGAGAAACTTTTCTGAATGACAACAATAAAAAATACAAAAACGAAATATACATACACCAAATCTCTGGTCTGAATTGGTTCTTTTATTACCCTTATCAGCAGACAGTTCTGTAGCTGGAAGGGTTGCCTTTGTAATTGATTGCCATGGGACATAAACCTAACACCCTCAAAAGTGCAGCCACTCTATGAAGATTACCGTATTTTTCGCACCATAAGACGCACTTTTCCCCCCACAAAACAGGGGGGTAGAAAGTCTGTGCGTCTTATGGAGCGAAAAATACGGTAATTCCTTTGGCTACATTTTTAAAATTCATTTATTGAACATGCATGTCACTTCCTGTTGTTTTAAAAATAATACTAAGCACTTACAAAGGAAGCAAAAACAAATACCACCATTAGTATAAAAAGGAAACAAAATCACCATAAGCTATATAGCCAAGATGGGCTAAACCCTGTTATTAGTTCCTCTAAAGTAGACCCATTGAATTAACTGAGTTTGTTAACAGAATGTCAATGTTTGTGTAAGTTCTTTTCATTCAATGAGTCCTCTATTTAGGATCAAGGGACGTGGTGGCACTGCGGGTTAAACCGCAAAAGCCTCTGTGCTGCAGGGTTGGAAGACCAGCAGTCGTAAGATCAAATCCATTCAACGGAGTGAGCTCCCATCGCTTGTCCCAGCTCCTGCCAACCTAGCAATTAGAAAGCATGTAAAAATGCAAGTAGATAAATAGGTGCCAGCACAATGGGAAGGTAATAGCATTCCATGTCTAGTCACGCTGGCCACGTGACCATGGAAACTGTCTATTCTATGGTTTGGAAATGGGTATGAGCACTGCCTCCTAGAGTCGGACACGGCTGGACTAAATGTCAAAGGGAACCTTTACGTTTACCCATTTAGGATCAACATTTGTCTTTAGCCCATAGTACCTGGATAGCTAAATGGTTAAATATCTCGCTGTGGAGCCAGATGTTGGGAGTTCAGTTCCCCACTGTGCCTCTTACAAGATGAGCCAGACAAGTTGCACAGCCCAAGGACTCCCCCAGAAGAAGGGAATGGTAAAACACTTCTGTGTATTCTCTACCTGGAACACCCTGAAAAAGGTCACCATAAGTCAGAGTTGTCTTGACAGTCTATCACCACCACCTAAATGCACAACAGTAAACAAGTCATGTAAAAACAATTCAAAGCTAAAAGATTAGGAATGCCCTCCACCTTTACACCATTATGTTCTTGTGCCATTGATAAAACCAAGCCCAAACGATGTCTAACCAAACGTGTCAAACCAGTAATGTGCTACAATGGTCATATGGCTTTCACCATGAAATCCTGAGATGCATCACAGATCCATCAACTTTGGCATGGATGCAGAAGTCGTCCAGAATCAAAACTCTTTAGGATCTGAAAATTGCATAATAGGCCATCTCTATGACTTCAAGGTGGACAGTACTCCAAGAGTATTCCTAATCAGTTCCTATGTCCCAGTAAAAGGCACAGTCAGAGATCTAGATTGGAGCTCAACCTGACAGAAAGCTTGACACAGAGATGGAATTCCTGTAGGCTGCTGCAACCATCATTCTCAGCTGTTAAGTTTGTTCTGTGCTGAACTAAGAATTGAGTTGGACGTAACTGGGAAGGAGTAACACACACCTCCATAATCAGTTGACATCTTCATCTGCACTCAGACTGTTCAGTAAGAGCACCTACAAGCCCAAGAGCTAATGGCAAGACAGCTATACTTATATGAGGGTTCAACATATGGTAACTGAGAAACTATCTATTCTGTAGCTACCTCACTTGATCCAGCCTCCATGTTTCTCATGTTCCACCGACATTAGACAACAACAACAACAACAACAACAGCAACTCCTCCATTGCAAAAATGATCCCCAGGCCATTAAATTCCACATTGCTAATCTGCTCATTACACTTTCTGGAACCTAGAAAGTTCAGATCACATGTGGAAGACATGTTAGTCCCAGCTTTAGAAAGTTTCTCTTTGCCTGATAAACAAATTTACTATATATTGTTGAGGGGAAGGTACAGTACAGCAGTGCAAGGCTGTATTTGAATCCACATTTTGAGAATGGCATTGATAATAATAATAATAATTTATTGTCATTGTAAGTATATACACATACAACGAAATTCACAATGATAATGATAATGACAATGGAACGATACTTGTGCCAAATGTGTATTAAAGTAATTAAATAATACACAGATTAGCAAAACAGTAAAATCTAAACATGAAAATTCAGGTGGGATTTCTAGAGAATATTTTCCTTCTGTTTGAAATTGATAGGTGTATGTTAAAATCACAAAGTATATGACCATCCACAACATGTTGTTTAAGAATTATAGTAGCATTCCAAATTAAGGATTTGTTTGATACTTTTGCCAATACTCTTTTATTACTGCTTCCAGTTACAGTGGTCCCTCGCTTAGCGATGTTAATCGGTGCAGCAAAAATCGCTGCTAAGCGATTTCAAAAAGCCCATAGAAACACATTAAAACACGTGTAATGCGTTCCTATGGGCTTAAAAACTAACCTTATGCGAAAATCCTCCATTGTGGCGGCCATTTTCAGTGCCTCTAAAGCGAGGCAAAACAGCGGGTGGCCATTTTCTTTACCCAGCGGCCATTTTGGAACTGCCAATCAGCTGGCGATGATCGAAAGCGAAATTTCCCCATAGGGGCCATCGCAAAGCGATCGCTCTTGCGGTGGCAAAAAGTCCATCGCAAAGCGATTTCATCGCTATACGGAGCGATCGCTATGCGAGGCACCACTGTACTTCCATTTTATGAAGGATAATGCCATTGATTGTATAAAAATAAATACCCCTTCTATCCATTAATAAATGTTCTAGGTTGACACTTTCAAATGTTTCTGCTTCTACTCACAAATTTTGTACCACTAAAATAATTCTTTCAACATAACAGTTAGCTGAAGCCATTTTTAAAACCGAAAATAAATGTCACATTAATGCTTCTTGCACATTTATGCATTATAGCCAGTGTAAGGAGTCTAAAGGATTGACTGATAAAGTGTTTAATAACTGGGTTCTGGCAATAAAAGTACCAAAACGTAATTTTCAGAGTTCATGAATTTGTCAGTGGACTAGCTCATTGATTTATAATACCCTAATCAGTCACTTCATGCTTCTTCATTACTTCTTACCCTTGAAACTGAATTGCATTACTGCCATTTTCAGAATTTTTAAAAATATTCTTTTTGGCCACTGTTAGAAGAAGATAATGAGGCAAATTATTTTGCCAGTTATTCTGAAATACCTACTAATATGATTTGATTAAGTACAATTAATGGTATATATTATTGACCTTATTACTCTCTAGTACTTGAACTCATATGATGACATTTACTCTGTTTTCATTACTGTGATACTCACAATCTAAGTCTTAACCTGATAAACATAATTTTTCCTCAGACATTACTATAGTCTGATCCCATCCATTATAGCCTAATTCAGCTACTAATATTCACATATACTTGCCATGGAAGTCTGTCTCTCTCTCTCTCTCTCTCTCTCCCCCCCCCTCCCTCTTTATTTATTTATTTAAAAATGTTTGGCTGCCTCTATTTAGCACTGCAGTGTCGGAAACAAAACTGAAAACGCCCCAGTGTGAAGGCAGAAGGGAAATGGAATATCTATGTAAATTTGAAGGCTGGAATTACTTAACCTTGAAAAGAAGAGTTAATAGGCTTGACTGAGGTACTTAAAATTATGAAGAGCATAATAAAACACAGATCGATCTTGCTTGCTGTACTTTCTGCATTCAAACAAGAGCTTGTTGAAAGTTAATGGCAAGTGCCTTGTATCAAATCAAGGTCAAAATAGTTTTATCCAGCAAGACACTATCTACAGGGAGGTAGCTTTAATTTTTTACAATTGCTGCTCTATGGAACATCCCTAAAATGTTTGCCATCAACAGGAATGAATTAAAAGACATTTAATGCTTAGCATGTTTTAATACCTCAAGTGCTCAAGTTATTTTG